GAGTCAAGTGCTGGTCTTTATGTCAGGGCACATGTGGATGGGGAGTCCGGTGTGCCCCAGCCTCTTCCCCCACACTCCGGGTGCCTCGTCAAGGGAATCGGTTGATGGGCTCCAAAAGGACTCAAGGGCAAACCAAGAGATAAGAGCGTAGACCACTGGACTGCAAAAGCAGGGAAAAATCAACATGATAGTACTGCTCTACCACAGAGGGCAGTTTACAGTGTCATTTATATTTCAATGTATATAAAATAACATAAAACTTTGAACACAGTATTATTTTGCAAATACTCATAATTACTGGCTTTTCCCCACGTTGATCTATATAGCACACAGAATGAGGAACAGAGTTACACTTCCAGCTCGGTGGATCATGCCGCTGAACCCAAAGTTAACAGGAGGGAGTGAACTAAGATTTTGAATTCCTTATTACATGGTAATGATGACCTTGAGTAGAAAGATTTCTGATGTTTACCTTTTAAATAATAACCCAGATTAGATTATTATATTCTAATAGATTATATTCAATATAATTCTTATTTTAAAATTGAGGACTTAGTAACTCATGAAAAAAAATAAAAAGTTGTATTTATCAAAAAACTATGAGCCAGGAAGGAAAAATGTACAGCTTTGCAGGTTTGCTCTATTTGCTTAAGGTTTAACACTATTAAAACTGTTAAACATGTATATGTTAGAAAACAAGCATGGCAAGAATTACAGTATTCTGTCTTGCACATCACCTTCCCAGCGTGCAAATTCACGGCTTGATGGATGATTAACATTAGGGGAAAATTATTCATCTGATTACCAGCAGGAGAGAGATAAAATGAACACAACATATTGCTGAATTTAGCATTATAATCACAAGAAGAATTTTTACAGATATATTGCAGCAGGGAATACTCCCAGTTTTACACACAGGAATTTCCTGAATCTAATATGTCATTTATTCCTGGCAAAGTCTGTCCTTTGTCCACATATATTTCATTTTTCCCAAACAGAACAGCACTAAGCTACATAAGTGCGGGATCAACTTTTGCCAGATTTAACTACTGTATATAGCAAAGCCTCAGTAAAGCATTACATCTTACTATCTGAAAGGTGAGCTAGAGGACCACCTTAATCACCCTACCAGTTACAAAGGACATTTCAAAGCCCACAACATACCTCATTCTAGAGCAATTCACAGTAACGTTTACTCTTGAAGATTCTATTTTCCACTTTGTTTTGTGAAGACTAAGGTGTCCTGACGGAGGGGAACTCTGTACAAGGGCTAATGTAAACAGGAGAGGATTTTAAGCAGGTAGCAATCATCCTTTCAACTGTGTTTTCCCCATGCCTTTCTGTATACTATTTCTGACAGTCTTACAAAATTTTAGATCAGTCCTCCAGGCCTTATTTCTATTACAGTCAATAGTCCAGAGACTTCCACTACTGTCACTTTTACGATGAAGATTAGACTTTCTTTCACTTCTTCTCTTGCACCTCGTTTTGCTTCACTCTGCAGTGAAACCTTATCTAATTTCATTATCTATCTCTGTAAAAGCAACTGTGCTGTGAAATATGCATCTCTTCATTGTATGAATACAGAAATTATAGACTTGGATAGAAGGAATGCACCACAAGGCTCTCACAATTAGCAAACAGTAGCATGGAAAAATATGGTAAATATTTTGTTTAAACTTATCCTATGCTATTTAGACATCTCTACTTTATGGAGAAAATTCTTCTCCATCCCCAATGCCAAGCACTGGAAATCAGTTCTTGGCTCTAAGCGTTTCTGAGGATTTGAGAGGAAGGGAAGCAGTAGCGGTAGCAATGCTGGTCCTGCACCATGGCTCTGTGGCCAACAAAGCCATGGAGCTCAACCTCTGCCTTGCAAGGACTGGGTCTTTTCCTTACCAAACTGTTCTTCACATTCAGCACCGTTTCATGGAGATAGAGAAGCCCTGGTCTGCCGAGCTCCTTATGGCACTCTCCGGAGACACCCAGACCTACCATTTGAATTCAGCGTGACGTTCAGCATGAGTTCATGTGGCCTGTGATTTCTGCTGCTGCCGTCAGCTGATACCAGAGTACCACAGCCGAGCACAGGTCATATGCAGCTCATCTGTTTGAAGTCTGTCTAAATTTTGACTCACAGAATGACTGTCGGTTTGCATTGAGCAACTCATGGATCACACATGCCATTACTCAGAGGTAACAGATGCAACATTATATTTGCAGTTCTCACTTACTTGTCTTAGGCTAGTTGCCTGTAATACTCAGAAAAAAGACAGATGTCCCTGAAAACGAAAAAAAATTTGATTCCAAGTATTTGTGTTGTTATCCCAGTGTTCTGAAAACGATGTACACTACAATCCAGTATGTAAACAATGCATTTGACGCTATTCTTCTTTAGTAGCCTGGCCACGATACCAGTTTGCAGAATGCATGACCAAACAATGAACATTTTTGTGAGCATAATATGTTCAATAATTAAGTACAGCTAAGTCAGCAGGTTAAAATCGCAGATCTTCTTTTATAGTATTTCCTTTCCAGAGTATATTTGCATAATACAAAAATAGACCTTTAATTTCAATAAATTACACACTCTTCTACCGTATTTTGTAACGGAACTGGGGCATTTAAATATTTGCAAATAACCTTCCATTACAAGGATATGATTTCCGTCACTCCAAAGTGCTACTTATAGCTTTGTCTGCTCTACGGATTAAAAACATGCACCACAGATGTGAGTTTTTTTAAACAGCACTCCTCACATTTCAGAAGAGACAATGTTTGAAATCACTTCTTAGATTTCCCTGTCTGGTTGTGGAAAAAGGCATGCAGCCGAGGTCCCCAGCATCCTGACACACCACAGCCCAGTCCCTCGTGTCTGAAATGTTGCTTCTGGCAAAAGGTACAGGCTTCACAACACCACTGTGAGGACCCGGGACACACTTTTGGAGATTTTTGTATTGAAACTACATTCTCATATTGCCGGTTGAAATACTTGCTGCTTGCAGAGGATGAATTTGCATTCAAACTTGTGAAAATATTTTAAGCTTCAATGTATTTATGCAACGCTATGTCAAGATTGCACTGCACTTAAACCCAAGCAAAACAAGCCTGCAGCTACACAGTCAGATCATCAAATAGCTCTTTGGAAAACAAGAATTTTATTTTTATGATTTTGCTGAATTCAGGTTTAGAAAGCTCTTAAAAAATTCTTTTACTTCATACACAAAGATCTCCATGGCATAAAAATTTGTAAGTATTGTTTTGTTGAATTATTCCCAAACAAGGTTTACAATTTTATAATATGTAAATATCTAAACCTGGACAAGTAAATCCTCATTCACCCTCAGAAATTATTTGGCTGGATTTCAGAGATTTTGGGAACTCCCAATTACCTCTACTGCCAAGGAAGAACTTTGGGGCGCTCCTCTGTAAACCAAGCCACTTGATTTGGTGATCAAATACGACATGCTGTCCACGCAAAGTTGCCCCCACTTCTGAAATTTGTTGACTAAGCCTCTGGCATTACTAGGTGCCAGTCAAAATAATGGTTATTAACCAAATAATGGAGTTGCTTGATTAGCAATGGAAAAGCGTGAGCTGCAGCCTGCATCCCGTTGCTCCCTGCAGTGAGACCAATGACACGCACTCTGTTATCAGTATTTCAGAATATACACGCTTTGCCTATTCAGTTTAGACAGAAATGAGACTTGTATCACGCTGCCTTGAGATGAACAAAAATTAATTTATCTCTAGCTATTCACTTCTGTATTATAAATGTTATTCTCTGTCTCACCTTTCCTCTTGCACCTACTACAAACCCCCTCATCTCAGACCCTAAGACAGGAGGATCACAGCTACAAGCCATTTTGAAGGTCACCTGTAGATTCAGAGTATCTATTTCTCTAGGACTGAGAGAGTCTTGGTGTTAGTGAAGTATAAAATATTTTCCTTTTGTTGTGCAATATGTGCATATAATAACATAAACAACGGTAAACATTCCGGTTCATACAGCACCATCAGCAAGATTCTGACCAGTTTCAAATCACTGTGTACCTGGGTATCTGCAAAGCGAAGATTACTTCTCAAAGTTCCTAATATCAATAAAAGGCGCTCACAGGCTGCTGGAGGTTTCCAGCTACAGAAAAATGTAAGAGGTTACGGCAGGGGGGGGCCCTACCCACCAAAAAAACTAGCAAGAAAAGGCGCTCACAGGCTGCTGGAGGTTTCCAGCTAAAGAAAAATGTAAGAGGTTACGGCAGGGCCAGCCTTACCACTGAGAAAATCTGCTCAAGAACACAGGTCATTTATTTGGGGTTTATGCTACTGACGTGACAGAAAGAACATCCTGGGGCCATTGCCACCATTTTGCAAGCAGGGCCCTACATCTGCACTGCTGCACTCCTGGTCGCATAATCATCAGCACGCGGTGAAATTAGTACCAGTCAAATGGTACTCAACCGTACGGCCGCCTGCAAAGCCTGAAGTCTTACGCTGTTACTTCTCTTTAACACGATAATCTACAACTCTCTATAAAAGCACTTAAAAAGGTGGAATGCACATTCCACTTCCGCTCTCATATTCTTTGCCATTTTGACAATACAAAAAGCTGCTAAAAATCAGCTACAGCTGGCAGAACTAATACCTGAGACAAAACCAGGGAGACGCTGGGTTTTTTTTCATTCTCCCTTACGCCTGAGGAAACAGTGTATATATGGCTCCTTGCCCATCCACTCAAACACTTCAGTCACACACCTATGCCTCTGGAGATGGGTGTTTGTGTGTGTGTGGGAGGCAACGCACAGGGCTGAGGTGAGCTCTGGCAGGCAGCACCATGGCCTGCTGAAACCTCAAACCGCACTTCATGTACACAGTTTAGTGCTCACTTCATCCACAAACCCAAACTTCCATCCAGTCCACTTATGTACCCAAACTCTTGCTCGCCCGGTTCACGGACGAAAACCAGGACCCTGCTGACCGGGACACCCGCCCCACTTCCTCACCTGACCACGTTGGGGTGCTCGAAGGTCTCCAGGTGCCTCAGAACTGCCACCTCTCGGATGGTGGACAGCGGCATCCCCTCCTCGCTGGTCTGCACCCGCACCCGCTTCAGTGCAACAAAGCGACCGCCGTTCTTCAAGTCTCGGGCTTTGAACACCTTCCCGTAGGCTCCTTCCCCAATCTCAGCCACACATTCATACTGCTGGTCAGCCAGGTTTGTGCTGTCCTTATCCATGCTGGCACTGCTCCTCTTCCTCCCGCGCCCCAGGTGCCTCAGGGCAGATCTCGGTCTTGCTCACTTTCTGACAACTAGTACTTTGCTTGCGTTGCAGATCCGCCACGCGCTTGGTACCTCTGCCAGAGGGGCAGTAGGAAGCTCTTGACCTCCTGTTCTCGTCCCTCTTCTGTCCGGGCCCCAATGTGCCTCCTCTTTCGGCCACCAGGAATTATCATACAGTCTTTGGGAGCATTGTCTGTGTAAAGCCAATTAGATCTGGAGGACAAACCAAGTAAGAAAAGTGAGTTTAGATTACTTCATTACTTTGCATCATTCAAAAACTGAGAAAATTAAGCTAATATAGTTGACAGCTACACGCAAAACACAAAGGTGGTGCAAAGGAAGACGCGAACCACCAGGCTGACACACGTATCAACGTCCCGGCACGGCTGACACAACACTACGTAGTTATCACGATCTGCATAGCAGGCTACAACGCACAGCTACAGAGCAACCGCCTGCTGCGGGATTTCGCTGAGCAATGGGCTGGATAAGAGGACCCTGTGTGACGCGGCTGATGGGGATGGCAGAGCTAACTATGCATGCGCGAGAGGACGTTATGTCCAGGAACTTGTGGCAGGATTGCAGGACTCAAAGGTTTCTTCAGTGCACATGGTGGGGTCCTGGAAATATATGCCATGCTGTATTACTTATTTGTAAATGACAGCACTCGGAGGCTTCAGCCTCGACCTGCTCTGCCCCGCACTGAGCCCTGCACGAATGCATCGCGACACAAGTTCCTGCCTCAAAAGCGCCTGTGGGGAGGAGAAACACAAACATGTTTAAATGACGATAATAATACGTTACCGAGCGTTGTGTGCTAGAGGGAGATTCAGAAACGTACACTTTAGCAAACTTATGAGCATGCAAGGGTTTTGGCCATGGATACTGCTACCACTGGGTGTGTGACCGGCAGCTCCGTGCAGAACAGCGCGATGGAGGAAGGTCTTCGGGAGCAGCACGCTCTGCTGTGTGGCGCGCGAGGCTGGAGAGCAGAAGCGCTTCCTCCTGCGCCCAGTTTCATCCACCCTCTCTGCGGGACCTGGGGCAAACCCTCTCCCCTCGCAGAGCTCCACATCAGTCCTCTCCCTTCCCCCTGCCCTTTTTTTGATACGATGACACGGTGATCTCCGGGGCTGTAACCCTCTCCCACGCCGTGCTGGGGTTAAGGAGCCCCCCGGACAGCCCAGTCGGGGATCCCCGACCCTGAGTCCACGCGTGACGCCG